ACTGTGAATCAAAATCAAGGAAATACACTCCTCCTCCTGAACAAATGAAACAAGATCAAGTATTTGCTCATCCCAATCTAGTATTTACGAGTCCTCCTCATAATATTAATGAATGGTTAGGAAAAAAAACAATTAATGGATGCTACTGAAAGTATAAAAAAAAGAGAGGACGTCCGACCAAAAAAAAAACTTGAAGAATACAACAACGAAATCGTTAAAAATCCTGAATACTCTTGTAATATATTATCTTTTAACACTGGACGAAATTGTGTTAGTAGACAATTTTATTCTCTTATAAAAGGAAATATCATATTTAAAAATGAGGAAGAAGCAAAGTTTTTAATTGATCTATTTGAGAGAAAAAAAAATTACTTGATCAATTAAAAGAACTCAACCAAGAAATTAATTTAAACAACACAATGGAGTATTTTTTAGAAAAATGTCTTAAAATTCGTTTATTTACATCATTTTGTAAATACTTTATCTAATACTTCATATAATACTTCATATAATACTTCATATAATAAAAAAATCATGTTTTTTTTGTTTTTATTGAGGGTAGTATCAGGTTGTACTAGACACGGGTCTTAAAGATGCTCGCTTAATTGATGGGATAGTTGTTGGTGTTAATAAATCAGCTCTACATATCGGGCAATTAGAAAATGCTTTTAATAATAATTGTGTCAAACAATCATAATGCATTTTGTGACCAAATTTTAACATCCCGATTCCAGTTAATGTATCCTCCAAACATATCATACATTGAACATGTTCGTTCTTGCATATATGATATTGACTTTTTCCTTTTTCCTTTCGAAACACAATCCACAAGCATCACAATGAAATGATCTATGTAATTTAATTCTACAAACACCACATTTTACACGATGATAAGGATCTTTCGAATAATCATCGTAAACCTTACATTAGTCACAAAAATAGTCAGCCAACTTTTTCTTACACTTGATACAATACTGTTGAAACCCTTGCTCAAATCCACAATAATTACACATTATCCAGGAAATATCTTTTGGAGTGACTTTTTCATTGCAAAAATGATCTTTATTATGACAATAATGACATGGGTAAAATCTTTCACAACATTTAAAATAAAAAGAGCAGTTGTTTTTTGGATTGTATACAATTTGTAAACATACATTGATACTTCTGTACACTAGACATTTTTCCATCAATCTGTTTTTACATGGAAGGGGTAAGTTATATATATAAACACACACACACATCTTCAACCTATTCAGCTACATAAAAAATTATTTTTTCAACATTGCTGTTCATAAGTTTTTTCATTTGTTCAATATGTTGGTGATTATCATCATTTTCATCCAAATATTTTTTTAATACTTTAATAAATGCGTTAATAAGAGATTTTTGTTCCAAGACAAATTTACTTTCATATACATCATAAATCATTCTTAAATTATCTTCTTGACATTCATCAATAATTTAAAAAAGTCCACACTGCTTGTTCCAACTCAAAATGACATCTGAAGACAGAATTTCCTCTTTATCGGCCAAGTTTATAAACAGATTGATGGTGTGGCTATGGGCAGCCCCCTAGGCCCACTATTTGCGAACATATTTATGGCCTTCAATGAAAATTCATGGCTTCACAACTGTCCCTCCACCTTCAAACCCCTTCTTTACCAACGTTACGTTGATGATTGCTTTCTACTCTTCCGATCATTGGATCACATACCTCTTTTCCTTACCTATCTCAACCACCAACATCCTAACATCTCCTTTACATCTGAACTGGAAAAGACAACACGCTCCCTTTCTTGACGTAAAATAACTCGCTCAAACGGCAAGTTTTCCACCTCCGTGTATCGTAAACCCACTTTCACTGGTCTCTTCACCAATTTCCATAGTTTCATTCCCATTCAATACAAACGCTCCTTGATCTCCTCTTTACTTCACAGAATTTTCAACCTCTGTTCCAGCTATGAGCACTTTCATACCGAACTAGAAGTCGTTAGAAAATTGTTCACCTTAAACAACTTCCCTTCATACATATTTGACAATCATGTTCACCGCTTCCTCAACAATACATTTGAACCCAAAGATCTTATTCACACTGCTCCTAAGAAAATCATGTACTTCTGTCTCCCTTTCACTGGCCTACACTGTCTTCAGATTCGCACTCAAATCACTCGACTCTGCAATGCTGCCTTTCCTCATATCAACGTTCGCTTTGTTTTTCGTTCTTCCAGGCGTCTCTCCTCTTTCTTTCCTTTTAAGGATAGGGTTCCCAAGCTCCTGAGATCTGGTGTTGTATACTCATTTAAGTGTCGATGCTGCTCTGCATCGTATGTGGGTCAAACCACGCGTCATTTACACACCAGAATATCAGAACACTTGGGAATCTCTCCCTTAACAGGGAAGCCTTCCTTATGTCCACCACCATCTGCAGTTCTTTCTCATATAAGAAATACATCTCACCTTGCCGATTTTAATGATTTCTCAATTCTCTCTTCCTCCTCCGACAATTATGACCTTATGATTCATGAAAGCCTTCTTATATCCAAACTTAAACCCTCCCTTAACACCCAAGGCAACTCAATCCCCCTTCACCTTTTTTAATATACCGCCATCCTCACTTATTCCATCATCTAAACTTCCTACTCCTCTCACATGTAATTTAACACCCCATACTATATGCTTGTATTTAAAACCCCGTGTATATATATTAATTCAATTAATCTGAAGATGTCTTAAGTTAAAGACGAAACGTAATTAATAAATCCTTCTCTATTTGATTATTGTGATGGCTTTCTTAAAAGTATTATGTTGGGCTATTATGTTCATATTGAAAATTCGCTTTCCGCCTGGCAAATCTCTGGCCACGAACTTTTATTTATTATGAATAGGTAATTTTTGAATTTCAAACATCAGTCGCGTGACGGATTTGACATACTCTAGATCCGCCTCTGCTAAAAATATCGATAAAAGGCTTTTGTAATGAACTTCCTGCAGTATTTTTCAATTTTCTTGGTGTTTTGGCTATGAGAAGATCAATTCTTAGTGATTGAGATTATCTTATCAAATTTGTAGTGGTTTATGCCACTTTTTATCGGTAGAATGAAAAGCAACCATATTATTAATTGTAAACACATTGATAAGAAATGAATATATTTTTTATTCCAAGCAAAACATTCAAAGCGATTAAGTCATTTACAGCTGACCTGCACCTATAATTTGGCACTCATATAATAGATCAGAAGTATATGTTTTCTTAACAATCAGAAAAAGATACCCAATAGAAAGTTTCTACCTTTTCTAATTACCTAATGATAACATCATATCACTTTTAGGTCAAGTAGTTTTTGATGAATCGTTTATCATTCTCACGAAAGACCTCATCGAATCAATTCTTCATCGTAAGAATACCAGCCTATTGTGTCATATGTTTGGCGGCCAGATCATTGGGATATGGTTAAAAGAAAGTAAAGGGATTACACCTTTTCAAGATAAGAGAAGGCTGTTAGACGTAGACACGAAAACGATACGTAAAGTTAGGAAACAACAAGGAATATGTCAATCTCTGCTTGGTTTGCATAATGCTTATCCGGATGACATGCGCTTATTTTGGAATATATAATTAAATGAAACAAAAATCAAGAAAATTGCTTTACCACCAATTTCTTTTAACTGTCAGTTTCCATATGGAATTGATTTAAAATTTTACAACAAAAAAGTGGCCTCTTCCAAGGCTATGCAAAGATGAACCTGTTTTGTTACATATACCCTCTTTTCAATGTTCCCAGATTCGCCGTGAGAAACGACAGAACAGGACATTGGAAAAAGTTTTTAATTAAGACGTTTATGCATAAAATTTAGGAGTTGTGCTTCTTTAAATGACTTTTGAGTTAAGTTTACACTGAAGTTAAATGGTGATTGTTATTGTTTTAATGAAAAGAAGTTGGTAATAATTTGCAAACCTCAATTTAAAAAAACTAAAAAGTCGACTAACCTACTATAGTATGTTTACCATGCATATAGTGCTGTCAGTTGTATTTTGCTTCAAGTAATTTGTATGTTACACTAAGTTTTTATAGCCATAAAATAAGTTCGAGCAGTATTTTTTCCAAATATTTCGTCATTAGTTTTAGGCAGGAAATATGCCATGCTGTCTCTGTGCCTGTACTTCAAAAACCATCCTTTAATCACACCTGAGTCAAATGACATAAACTCAAAGGAATACAGATGAGAATAAAGGATGTCAGAGAGAGTACAAGTGTTAATACTTGCGGAATGTAGAATTATTGAGCAAAAAATATCAGAAAAAGTGATATGATTTTTTATGTTTAAATCAAACTTTAATTGATGCCAATTACGCTTAAGCTTTATGTTGTACGTAAATTTTTCATTTTTCGTTATTCCATCATAATTTTCATACTTCCAAAATGCAAAACTGCAAATATTATTATGTTTTTGAATAAAAAAAGATAAATGTCATTTTGTGCAAGATAATTTTCCTCAAAATAAAAGAATTATCTTAAAATAAACAAGAAAATAAACCCTTATCTCAAAGCACAATCGTGTGGCTAGAATTTGTATCTGCACAAACTAACTGCAAAATCCAACACGCTCTCAATGACGGAGAAAAAAATTTAAGATTCGGATTTAGGTAGAGTGTACTATGTCGACGGCTTTTGTGAAGAAGGAAACACTACACAGTAAAAAGAAAAGGGCCATTTTAGCCCCCAAAATGGGGCCAAAATATTGACCCCAGAACGGCCCCATAATTTAGAGCCAAATTCGGCCCTTTAAAGAGGGGCCAAATTTGGCCCCTCTTTAAAGGGCCAAAATTGGCTCTAAATTATGGGGCCGTTCTGGTCAATATTTTCCCATTTTCTAAATGGCCCTTTGTGTGAAATTCAGCTCTAGACAGAATAGCCAATTTAGCCCCATTATCTCATCAAATCGCAATGGCTAAAAAGCAGCCCCTTGCCCTGGAAAGAAATGAAATTACTGAAAGCTTACAATAAACAAGACTCGTATAATATACGTAAGCACACAAGTGCTTAACACCTTCATTAAAATAGTTTACATGCACATATTTTTATCTCACTCAACTTAAACTTCACAAAAAAGAATTGAAATAAAACATAATCTATATAGCCATGCATGTGCATTCATGATTAGTTCAACACATTTGATAATACTCCAACTAAACTTTTCACCGAAGATGGACACTTCTCTGGGATAATTCCCAATAATGCCATGTCAAGAAAGCTATAGACATTCTTGCCATCAATGTATTGTATATTGTATATATAGTACGTGGCCAACAAAGCAACCAGAGCATCGCCAATCTTTTTGGTCGTTACATGGCACAAAACTATTCCTTCTGCCACTACATATATTAAGTCACTTTGATAAATGTCATCCACAACCAAAATACAAGGTTGAATTTGTGTTCTTATTTCTTCATCAAGGAAAGCGCCATTCTACGATAAAAAGACAGGAGAAAATTTAGAAAATTAGCTTGAGACTACACAATAAAGTCTTAAGTGTCTACTTTCATTAGGGTTCACAAGTTACTTTTTGTTATGTGAGAAACAAAAATGAAGTAGTATGGTAATACTCATTTTATAGTAAAGATATAGTGCCAGTTTTACCTTAACAACTTTGATAACAGCTTCTTTAACACGAGGCGTCCTCCTGCTGTTTGGCTGCTTGAAGACAGTTTGAGCGATTTTGATAGCTGCTCTACCAGCACATTCGCCTAAAAAATAGCACACACTGCTACACAAATGTTGATCGAGAAACAACTGCTGATCCTTCTTAGTTTAATTTCCTTCAAGAGAATTTCTGATGTGTATGAAGTTGATTATCAGCTGAAATACCTTCTTCAAGGATACCACTATCAATAGCATTGTGCATTTTCTTCAAGTCTTCTGAATAATTACCGTTTTTCTCAGCATATGCCAACAGCCTGTGACGCCAGACTTTGTTGAAGTTTTCCTTCACCTGTGTAGCTACGTCTTTATTCCCCATAACTTTTGCAAATTCAGCCTTGATCTGTAGTAATAAAATATAGAGCAGTTACCTATAAGCTTTGCTAAACTTATGTACGTATTTTATGGGATAAAAATACTACTATAGCTAGTAACGTATAGCAGGTTTTTTAAAAGAGGGAACATTTCAACAACTTCCACTATTCTTCTGACTTCTTCCAAGACAAGTGATCTTCTAGAAGCATAGCATGCAGCCATCAACTCCTGAATTTTTTCATGATCCTTTTTGGCTGACTGCCACTCTTTTTTTATTTTTGATACCACTGCTGTAAGTTCTTCACTTTCGCAAGGCTCGGGAACGTTCGTCCAACAGTGACTGTTCCTTTTCTTTGTTGTTTTGCCTTTAGTTTGCAAGACATTGGTAACAGGCGTGTTAGATCTCTTTCTTTGCAATTTTTTGAATCGGTTATAGATTTTCATCTCAATAGATCCCTATAAGAGAAAGCTAGTTAGTCACCCAGTTATTGATTTTAGCAGGCATGATTTAGCAAAAGTCTTATTGCTTACAAGAAGCTAACATTCATGTGATCAATATTCATTATTATTTGACACATACGTATAATGAAACAAAACAAAACAATAATTGAACAAAATGTTATAAACACTTTTAAGTATTATTTACCCATGGCTTTGAGTTTGCATCCAACAGTGGATCCTTCAAGAATGGATATGATTCAACAATCATAAGTGCAATCTTTACACGTTCTGTTTTGCTGGGATAGCTTGTAAATCTTAGCACACTTGTGCAGACATCTCTGATGAGCTCGTTAATCAAATTTGGGGGTAAATACTCTGTTTTCAACCCAGCTTCAACAGCATAAGAATACTACAACACAAAACGCTTGTTGTGACCTGTCTTCCTCCCTCCCAAAAAATGGTTGGAGGCTAGTTTAGGGGCAAGATAATGTCAGAAATTTAGAAATACAATTGTGGTTTTCAAATTTGTAAAATGGCTAAAGAAATGGCTGTTGAGAGACCAACTCTTAAACAAAAGCTGATCATTCATCAGCTCACCTCTAAAAGGACTTAAACCTTAGGGACTTTTGTAAGCCTTCAACTTTAACCAACCACTTAAGCATAATATTCTTACTATTCTGTGTAATAAATCAGCTGCTGTTAGTGTATTGTACTTACACGATTTGGAATTTTGTAGTTCCGTAACCAATCCTGAAACAAGTAAAATATTACTCAATTGCAAATTAGATTTTTAGAAGTACTTCAATTTCCATTCATTGAACAAATGAAGATAAACTTGCATACTTTTGGGGTACTGGTAGTTGCAGTAAGAGCATTTGGACACTAAAAATTACAAATGAACTATTAGTGAATGTTCACAGCAAGTTTAAGTAGGAATGAGCTTAGGAGAGGGGTGTGAAGGAGCAGGACTTATGGTGATGCTGTTACTATTATCACTACAAAAAAAATACAAATAAAACCAACAATAGAAATGTCGTAATATTAATAAAGAGGTAATAAGATTTCAACAAATGTTTGACATAATATGTATAGCAACAAGTTACCAAAGCCTAATCTAAACTAGAGGACCCTCCACCCCCAATACAGAACCATTGCGTATCATGACTATATGTATTATTATATGTAACCATGACAAAATGTGTTATTACTAGTTAAAATGATCAGAAACAGAAGTGCACCAACCTGAATTGGTGTTACAGGTAAGCTATCACTCTAAAGAAAAAAATTAAACCAGCATATCATTATATGCTGCAAATTTTAATGAATGCACATGGTGCACACAATTTAACAATGATTTGGGTTTGTCAAAAGAATTGTTTATTTTAAATCACTTCATCATTAACAACTTTTTACACTGAAGTTTTTTGTTACTATTCAACAGGAAATAGCAAGGTACATGAATGTAAATAAGGAAGAAACAAACCTTGTGCATTCCTGCACTGTCAATTTCGATAAAACTGTCAGGAACCTTTTTCACTGAACAAATATCAACCTAGGAAAAACTACGTGTTGATTTCATAAATGGCTATAACATTTTTTGGTATACAATAAGCAATAAATTTCATCCTTTATGCTAAAATCAACCAAATGGCAAATTTGTTTACCAAGTCCCCTTTTTCACTGGATGCATTGCCATCAAAAGAAAATATTGCACTTCTATCATCATCGGTTTCAGATGAGTCAGAAGAGCTTATAACATGGTGCTTCTTCCTTTTTTTCAACTCTGGAGAGTCTAAAGCCATTGGATTTCCATTGGAATGAAACACCTTAAAAATAAGCATGACAAGTTTAAACAGTTCTAAAAAACACTAAACGTTTGCTGGTATAAACATAACATTCTGAAAAGTTTTTAGAAAGAGTTTGATCTAATAAATGCTCACGTACGTACCATGCCAGAAAGTTTGGACCAAATTGCAATAGCAGCACGCTTTTGTCGGAGATTCTTAAACATGTCACTAAACTCTTCTCTAGTTAGTGTTGGAAAGAGTTCTCCATCAATCTCTGCAGCTGAGAAGGTACGTGCATATATTATCGTAATTAGATTTTGCAAAGCCTAGTTGCAAGTTTGTAGCTAAAAATCCACTTTCATTATCAAACAATCTTCCCAAGCTCTTGCTTAAAGCTTGAATGTTTTTACATACGGTAAGTCTGCTATTATTAATCACGTGAAAGCGCATGCGACCTTCGCCCGACCTTGGCATTATTTTGGGAAAATAACTATTTCCTTTATCTGCGTTATAAATATAGTTTTTTTCTTTTAGAATTGGTAATAAAAGAATTTCTTGATTGATATCTCGTGAAACAGTGTATTTTTTTACATTGTTAACCCTTGATCGGCATTTTTTTTGAGTAAACAACGTGGGTGTCGTACGCACGTTGTTTACTCAAAAAATGCCGATCAAGGTTAACGGTGTCAATGAAAGCGTTATATATATGAGAAATGTCCTAGAATATTTCAAAGATAACTGTTATGTCAGGGCGAACTAGAATTGGGGTAATATTCATGTTTTCAGCTCTGCCCTGCTGACTTCTTTTGAAATTAACATCGCAAACAAAAGAAATCAGCAGGGCAGAGCTGAATATATGAATATATACCCCAATTAACGTTCTAGTTTCGCCTCTGGTTATGTCTAACTTGGGAGAAATTTTCCACTGCATATCAAAATTTTAGCAATGTCTTCTAGGTTTTCATAAAAAGCGTCATACTAACATATAAATATTTACAACAACTACCTTGAAATTTTTCAATGACTTCATTATCCACTCCATTCTTTTTCAATAACGTGGACAATTCAGAGGTGGTTAAATCTTTAAATGAAGGCATTGCAAGAAGTTCGGTGCAAATGTTACGACTAGACTACAAAAACGATCAGCAAGTAAGTGAAATGACCATTGAGTTCTATAATAACTGGAGCGGCTAACTTTACTGGGGCGAGGACGCCAAAACAATGGCGGCCAAATGACGTATTTCCGCTGAAATGATCGCTTTGCAGAAAAATAATATTCCCGACCTCCCACTGATGTCTATAGTAAATTATAAAGAAAAAATTTCTTTAAGAAAAATTTGAGCTTATTTACCTATTAGAGTACAGAATGGAGATTTATCATATGCATTATTGCTGCTTTTTTAAATAATAGACCATAAAAAAAAGATAAAATAGACCATTGCGGCGATTGCGCGTGCGCGGCTGGCTTGCACAGTGATTCACGTGCAAGGCATGTGTTGAGCTTTTCCATATGAAGTGACTTAGCGAGTTTTAGAAAAATGGCTTGTACTTGCTCAATGTGCCTTTCGAGCTTTTCAACGCTGGCATTGTTACGAAATCATTTAAAACGGTACCACAAATTTGAGGATAACTTTCACGTTATTTCTCAGGCACCACGTTGTGCAAGTATTTATTACACCTTCGAAGGCTACAAATCTCATTTGCGCAGAAAGCATGCAAATATATTGAATAATTTCATTGATGAAAATTCTTTTAAAAATGGTAATCATGAAATAAATATGAGCGAAGCCAATGAAGATCGCAATAGTGAGCCAGGAAAAGTTAATGACATTACTCAAGACTATGATTATGGTGGTGCAAACATCGATATATGCCACAAAGAGGAGAATATCAGGATGATGAACGCCCGGTTTCTGTTAGAAACTAAAGAAATGCATAAACTATCTCAAAAAGCAGTAAATACTATCGTCAGAAATACTACTTCCATCGTCCAAAATTCCCTTGAATTAGTGAAATGTCGTCTGTTATCATTGCTTGAAAATGACGACATGCCAGACGTCTGCGAATTGCTGGAAAATGTATTCATGGAGGAAAATGTCGTGACCAATCCTTTCCTGGGAATGGAAAGCAAATGGCAACAAGATAACTTTTTTAGAGATGTTATGGGAGTGGTTGTAGGTTTTCAGTAAATTAGACCTATAGACAGAAATTCATACTTTGTTTATAAAAGCATTTATCTGCCATGTCAAATTTTTTTCAAGTGTTTTTAATTGTCATTTTAAATCTTTGTTTTTCCCGAAGGAACCAAAACAAAGGGTCTTGGGAATCACCCATGTTCAGAAAAGAATTGGTGTTGGAAGAAGAACAGTCCCAAAACAAGATGAAGTCATCGAAATTCCTCTTCTTAAGAGCCTTGAGCAAATGCTGCAAGATCCAGCCATATTAGATCAGGTTACTTAAACATAAATAAACTAGTGACATACACAGCATGCTATTCTAGATATAGCAGCTGACTGGCTTTTCTGCCCAAATTTATGTTTGTTCACAATATTTTTTCACCATTTGGGCACTCCAATGCTTCAATTTTTTAACAAACTTATTTCAAGAATATAAATGATATACATATATAAACCGTACGTCCTGTGTCCCAAGTGCAGGAGTCACCATTTTACTGTGGTGATAGCCGGGAGGGCACATTGTTATACATTTTGTATATATATATATATATATATATATAGTGGTGGAGAAGAAAATGGCTACAATTTCATCCCAACAAGCCTGTTTCGTGATTGCTCAATCACGAAACAGGCTTGTCGGGATGAAATTGTAGTTTTTGTGTATTTTCTTCTCCTTACCAATATTTACGCTCTGCTCTCGGGCATCGAGCACTGTTTTATACGGAAAATCATAAATTATAAACTTCCTATATATATATATCCCATTTATATATATATAACTTCCTATATATATATAAACAAAGTATTAAATCCCCTGAAGAGTGAGCAATCACGAAACAGGCTTGTCGGGATGAAATTGTAGTTTTTGTGTATTTTCTTCTCCTTACCTATATATATATATATATATATATACTTATTTAGGTCTTGCATTCACACCAAAGACAAGATGGGCTGTTATCAGATTATTGTGATGGCAATGAATTTAAAAGCCATCCTTTGTTTTCCATCGATCCTACTGCTCTTCAAATTATATTATATTATGATGAAGTAGAAATTGTCAATCCCCTGGGAAGCAAGACAGGAAAACATAAACTAGGTGCAGTACTTATAGGTCTACATCAGCCACATTTATTAATCTTTGCAGATTATATCAGATTTATTGTCTGACCTAATCCTTTCCTCCCTAATTAATTTACTATAATTTTGACTTTTTTGTCCAAAGTGTTGCAGCAAAGTGTTGCCACAAAGTGTTGCACAAATGAGGTCATGTTCACAAAACACAAATTGCAAATCAACTTTAAAAATATTCTAAACTAATTTGCTTGTTTTCTCTATATTTGACATAGGACTTGTTTACTACACATTGGGTAACATTTTACCACGATATCGGTCGCAGCTGAAAGCAATACAACTGATTTCAATTGCAAGGAGACCTATATTTACTGATTTAAAAGATGCAGTGTGTATGTTCATAATAAATATCATCACATTGTGAAATATTGCCTATCAAAAATTTTTTGAGAACTAAAATATCATATCTTTGTCATAATATGTGATTTAGTTTGTTCAAAAGCAATTAAAACTGCTAAAATGCAAAAAATACATTCGTACTAGACAATACCTGACATAATTTGTTTTCTGCCGTTCACTCCTACGACAATTGAATCACTTTAAAAACCATTACAAACAAAGCAAATGGTCGTCTTCAAAAACTCTATACTTTGAATGATAATAGAATATTATTTTTCCTGCAATATCATAGTCATCTACGGCCGTTATCATAGTGAAAACAGCAATCGAAACGCATCATGAAATAGTTGGCCGCCATATTTGTATTGTGTCACCCGATTCGATGCAGTCATCAAGTTGCTCTCGAACCAATTTGGCACCAGTTGTAGAGCAAAAACAACCCTCATGGAGCCAAAACGGCCCCTCTTGTCTGTTTTAGCTCTCATTGTTAGCCAATATGGCTAGCAATTTCAAAATCCAAAACGACCTCATGGGGCCGAATTGGCCCGTATATTTCTATTTTGGCACCAATTGTAGAGCAAAAACAACCCTCATGGAGCCAAAACGGCTCTATTGTCTGTTTTAGCCCTTATCGTTAGCCAATACGGCTAGCAATTTCAAAAGCCAAAACGACCTCATGGGGCTAAAATGGCCCTTTTCTTTTTACTGTGCAATGTAGTCTGCGACTTTAAATGTGAATGTGATGCTCACTATGTAGGTAGGACTTCTCAAAGGTTGAGTGAAAGAATAGTACAGCATGTACCAGCTTCTGTCAGGAATAAATCTTTTCCTTTACGACAGCTACCAAAACGTGGGTGTGAAAGTGAAAATCCAATTCTATATGATTCAGCGATTGGAAAACATCTTTTATGCAACACTCGCTGTCCCAATGCTTATTCTGATGAAAACTTTAAAATTATTTAAAATTGTCGCTCGTTTTTCCAGATACGCGTCATGGAGTCGGTATTAATTATATTGATTAATCCTGTCCTTTGCCGACAAAACGATTACGTGTTTAATAAGTCTCTGTTTTAAGTGTCATCTCTAAAAATAGAGATGACATTGACCTTTTGTAACATTAAAAATATGGCATTATTTGGAGGGTCTCATTTAGCAGACGTTGACAACTGACAAATAGTCTGCCGAAATGCATAGTGTCTTATTCTAGCTGAAAATAACGGCTCCTTTGAATTGTTGGGTTAATGTTCTGGTTGAAAACAGTTCTTTTAAGAACTATTACGTTGTTATTATCACCATTCACCATGGTATTTGCTATTTTGAAATCCATCTTTAAATTTTCGTTTTCACGAAACGATAATTTGTTGCGTTGAAATTCTTTCTTTTTAATTTTGCACCCAATGAACAATTTTTCCCCTGCAAAGAAAATGATCCTTTAAGTAATACTTTTTTTTCTTAAAGCAATCATATTTTGCATTATGAAATTTATCAGAGTGAGGTTCAAAATAGTTAAAAGAGTTTAGTGGTTTAGTATTTTGTTTTTTATTGCGTCTTGATGCATTTATCAGTTTCTTTGACACATTGTAAATAATACCATGAAAGCAAGCCTCACAATGATTATTAGTAAACAAATATTGTGAGGCTTTCTTTTATGGTTTTCTTTTCCTTTTACTTTCTTTTGTTTTTTTTACAAAACTAATTCCACATAAATATTTTTGTAATAATTTTATTTTAAAAAGTATTAGGTAATACTTATGCACTATATTCTACTAAATTAATTTAAAAAAAGTCTTATTTTATGTCTTTTTCCAATTTTCCATATTCTTTTCCATTTTTTTCGTACATTTATTTCATATTAAACTCAAATTCCATTCTTAAAAGATTTATAAATTCATCATTTTTCTCTGCAAGTTTTTCTTCCATTTTATTTATTTTTCCATATAAAAATGGTATTATTTTTTTAAATACAGAAAAAACTTTTGATTCTACAGAAGATTCAATTTCACAATAATTACATTTTGTACATAATGATTGTTTACATCTTTTTAGAGGAGAAAGATGGTTTGAAGTAAAATTATTAAATTCACGAAATGTTGACTTTACAAATGTCAGATTTGCAAATAATCCAACTTTGTTTTTGGGAAGGTCATGCACGTCATACATATCATCTTTTTCCACCTTTCTTTATTCAACACCAATATGCTTACCTTCCCCTAATATGATATTAAGGTATTTTATATTAATTTTTTTAGTAAATAAATAGAAAAAAATGAACATTTCTTATATTTTATTAAAAAAAAATCAAATTTCTTTTTTTATCTATTTTCTAAAAAAATTGGAACTTCTTACCTTTTTTTCGCTGATAAATGTTGACACAATTGTAATTTTTATTATAATCAATACAAACCTTGAGTTGATATGAACTCGAACTATACAATGTATATAAAGAAATGTGCAATTAAAAATCAATTGTTTCATTTTTAAATGGTTTTATATTTTTTATTATTTTTGTTAGTATTTTTTTGCAGATAAAGTAAAAAAAAATCATGAAAGGAATAAAAATGAATTGACACTTTTTTTGATGATTATCTGATGGAAAAAACTGTACATTTTACCCAACGTTTATAATTTCGTTTCTATATTTCAATGATATGGATTTATTATCGATATTTGCTATTTTATTGATGGAAAATCGTGGCCATCCTTTTTTATGTCGGTTGCATTTTGTATGCAGTTATTTATTAAGATCGAAAAGAGCCCCATCGAAAACCAATTTTTAAAAAAATAAAAAAATTAGATAAGAATTAAATTTATTCAAAATTCTTTAAACTTCATTCCAAAAAAGAAAACAATAAAAAAATAGATTTTATTCAAAAATTGTATGGGACATTAGGGTGTATACGTTGTTGGGATTATGAAAACTTTGAACACATTTATTTAATATCTACCTATTAGGAGGGAGGTAATTTTTATATACAGTACATAATGTTGTTATTATTTAATGAAGATTTTCCTTGTAGATATAATTATTGCGAAAATGGGATGGTCCTAAACGCTGTTAAAACCAAAGCATTACTTATCACCGGAAAGAGGCTACATTCATCATTAGTTGATGGCAATCACCTGTCAGTAACCGTAGATGGGGCTGAAATAGAACAAGTAACCTCTTATAAATTGCTTGGTGTAACACTCGATCAAGATCTTACATTTAGTGACCACATTTCTAGTCTAAAGGCCAAGCTTTCTCTGCTTATTGGTTTATTGAAAAAGATAAAGAGATACCTTCCAATAAAAGAAAGACTTTTATACTACAACGCTTTGATTAAACCCGTCCTTATGTAAGGGAGCATGGTTTGGAATACCTGCGACGTTAAAGAACTCCACTGTCTCTAAGGTTACAGAAAAGGGCTGCCCGAGTAATTCTTGGAGTAGACCCTTATTCTAGAAGTGTTGTAAACTTTAGTAAACAACACTAAACAACACTAAACTAGGCTGGTTGCCTTTTTTTTGACGAAATAAAACTAAACAAATGTGCCATGATATCAAAGATTTGTTCAATACGAACAGTTCTGTTGACAATAGGTCCACGAGACATGGCAATTTAAATTTAGTGTGTCCCAAATACCTAAGAAATAACGATGGTGGCAAGGCATTCAGTGTTAACGCAGTCAAGTTATGGAGCAGCCTTCCCCATGATATCAAAAAAAAGCCTAGTACAAATCTATTCAAGACAGCTGTGAAAAAGCATTTTATAAGTTCATATAAAAACCTGGACAACTTTGAAACAATATTAAGCAATAGCACACTACCTAATTTTAATTTTAATTTTTTATAAATTAATTTTATCTTTCTGAATATTTTTTATGTGTCCTGCTATTTTTATCATAGAATTTAGTAATTATTTATATATTTATTCATTTATCAGTTTTTTGTAATGCTGTATAATCTAGTTAGAGGGCCACAGGTTTGTCAGCTTTTCAGCTGTTACGTGTCCCCCTCTTCAAATAAAGTCCTTATTATTATTTTAGTTTCTCAAAAAAACACGATATTATATTATATGATCATTTTAAAATTTATTTGCATGATTCTCCTTTTGTAAAAAAAGGTATTTTTTATTTGGATTTACAGTGTGGGGGTTTATTTCAATTTGCTATTGGTGTATAAATTTATATATCATGTAAAGAATTTTTTGAATTTTGTGTACTTAATGAATTCATTGAAAAAACATTTATGTAATAAAATTTTTTTTAATAAATATATTATTTATACACAAAATATTTCACTTTTTTAATTTTTTCTTCTAATATTCTTTGCCATAATTAGAGAATATTAATTGATGTAGTTAAATGTTTTCTGATGATTTCATAAGATAATTGAAATTTTTCATAAATAAAACGAATTGTTTTAAAGCGTGAACGACGAGCATCGTTTGCATATCTTGCTGCACCATCAGTTGTTTCATTAGCACAAAAACATTTTCCTTTATCGCAAATTGCATATTCGGCTCACCCATCACCATATTTTCTATTTACTTGGCTTAAGTTAAGATGTCTTCCAGCGTAATTAGCAATTATTTTGTTTTTTGAAATTGAATTTTTATATGCAAATAATCCTTTACCACTGTTAGGAGTATTTTAACTCTTAAATTAAATTTCCAAGTGAATCCAACATAAATTGGTCATTAAAATTTTTTATAACATCTTTAAAGTAACTCCATCACATTGTTGCATCTTTGGTATACTTTCTTTTATTTTTGTAAATTAATCTTATTCCATCATAAAGTTCAGTATTTCTTTCAATATATTTCATTCATTTCTCAATTTTAAAACATATATCAGAATGATTTAATTCGATATTATATAATTCTTTTTTAAGCGAAAAAAAATATATTTTATTGTATTAACGTCGCAATACGTTACAGAATTATCATCATTATTATCTGATTTTCAATCTTGAATTGATTGTTGAAATAAGAAAGGTGAGAATAAAATACAATTATTGTTTTCGCTTATTTCATAGGTAGAAATAGTACTGGCTCTTTCAGTATTTTTGTTTTTTATTTTTCATTTTTATTTAAAAGTAAATGAAAGTCTATATAACATAGTGTTTTTCCAGCCATTTTATTAATTAATT